TACATTCATATACCACAACTTGTTCAGCCCTTCTCAATTGAGGCATCCCCTCATTTTCCAATTCTTGGCCACCACTACAGAGCTGCTATAAATATTTTTGTACATGTGGGTCCTTTTCCCTTTTTGTGATCTCTTCGGGATATAGACCTAGTAGTGGTATTGCTGGATCAAAGGGTGCACAGTTTTATGGGTCTTCTATCTCTTAACTTGTTCCCACAGCTAGATATTAACCAAGATATAAAAGGAAATTTCACTATGTGATTTAAGATATCATATTTGTCCTCCCTGGGCCATATCAACTATATGCAAATTATTAGCTGAGCAGATCTGCCTTTTAATGAGACTTCTATACATTAAAATATAATTTTCACATAATCTCACTTAAAATTCCAACTTTTTTAGAATCATATCAGTTTCTGCAAAATTAATTGAATTCATCTGTTTTTAAATACCTAGTATGTTCAAACTACTGTATTAAGTAATAGGAATACAGAGACAAACAACATTATTCCTCCCTGCCTTTAAGAATCTTATAATCTACTAAAGGGGTAAATAAATGTGATGTAAGTTAGGCTATAATCAGAGTAAAGGAGAAATATCACTAGCATTTAGCACAGTGCCTGGCACATAGTATGTGCTTAATGGTATGAGTTTGTTGACTTGACTTGAGGAATCTGAGAAATAAATATTTGTAGGGGAGTGTCATCAGCTAAGGGGAATCAGAGAAGGCTTCATGGAGGAAGTGTTGTGGGCTGGACCTTGAAGGAAGTGAATTATTACAGCAAGAGATATGGAGGAAGTATGGTTTAAGAATGGAGAACAGTTTGCAAGAATATATGAAGGGAGACAGTAAGATGAGATTGGTTTGAGTGGAGTAGCACTATTTATAGGGCTTAAAATGAAGATTGGGTGTCTGTATTTTATTCTATAAATAATATGGAGCCACTGAAGTTTTTTGAGCAGAGGAGTGACGTGCCATCCATGCGCATTAGGAAGATTATTTTGGCGACCGTGTCAAAGATGAATTAGAGATGGGATAGACTAAAGATAGGGAGAAGAGTTGTGAGACGACATGGTGGAGAAGGTAGAGCACTAGATTTTGGGAAACTTGAGCTCAGACGCTTATTAGCTGTATGACCCGACAAGTTTCTTAATGTCTGTGGGCCTCATCTCTAGGTAACTACTTCAAGGTATTGGATTCAATGACCTCAAAGGTCTCTTACAGCTCTAAATCTGTGGGTTTTTTTTTGTTTTGGTGAGGAAATCAGAGTTAAGTGACTTGCTGAAGGACATACAGCTAGTAAATGCCAAGTGTCTGAGGCTGGATTTGAACTCAGGTCCTCCTGACTCCAGGGCCAGTGCTCTATCCACTGTGCCACCTAGCTGCCCCTTAAATCTGTGATTCTGAGAGATAATGATGGCCTCAGTTAGGATGGTGGCAGTATGAGTATAGAAGAACAAAGAATTGAGAGAAATGCAGACAGATAGAGATAAAGAGATGAATACAGAGAGAGATAGAAAAAGAGAGATAGAGAAATTTTGAATGTTTGGTGACATGGCTAATTAGCCACATTCTAATTGGGGTTAGGGAGAGGCAAAAGTCAGATATGACTATAAAATTTCAGTCCTGGGTGGTTGGAATGATGAAATATGGAATATTTCTTCAATAGAAATATGGAAGCTGGAAAGAGGGGAAATTTAGGGGAAAGGGTGAATCAATTTTTGAGGTACTGTATTTGAGGTACTGGCAGAATATCCAGGTGGAAATGACCAACAGGCAAGTGTAAATATGGGACTTGAGCTCAGTAGAAAGGCTCTGGAGTCATTTTTCATGGAGTTGCTCATTAAAGCACTGGAAATAGATGTGATCTCCAAAGGAGAGACTATTAAGAGGGAAGTATAGGGAGCTAAAGACAAAGCCTTAGGGGGAACAACTACACTTAGGGTATGGGAAGAAAAAGGAGCCTAAGAAAAAACAGTCAGACAAGTAGAATGACAAACTTGAGAGAGAGAGAGAGAAAGTGTCATGGAAGACAAAACAGAGGGTCATCAACAGTAGCAATAGCTGCAGGACTAAGAAAAGGCTATTAGATCTGTCAATTAAGAGCTCATAAGACACTTTGGAGAAAATAGTTTTGGGAAATTATAGGATACTGAGGAATGCATGGTTAATGTGAAAATGGAGGCAGCTAGTGTAGACCAGTCTCTCTAGAAGTTTAGCTAGCATAAAGTAGATGTTTAATAAACCCTTGTTGATTAATTGAGAGTAATAGGATGATAATCTGAAAGGATAGGGATGAGGGAAGAGTTGCTGTTGTTGCTGTGTTTGGCTGATCTGAGCATGTGTGTAGGAGAGAGAGAGATAAGGAAGATGAAAGAAAGAATGATTTGCAACAAAATCCAAGATGAGATGGGAAGCAAAGGATAGAATCAATGGTACACATGGAAGGGTAGTTCTTAGCAAGGAGAAGGTCCTTCTAATCTTTCAAGATGAAGGGAAAAGAATGGGTGAATGCAGAAAGGCTTCAAGGCTGGCGGACTGTCTATAAGAAGCTCACAATGCATTGCCTAAAACTTCATTGAAAATGGGATATGGGGAAAAAAATAATGGGATATGGGATATGAAAATGGGGTAATTGATGGGGGTGGTAGAAGTGTGACAGTGGAGTTTAGGTTAGAATGGTGGTTCTTACTGTTTTTGGCTTCTGGATTCTTCACTCTTGAAAATTATTAGAACTAACTGTACTAAGTTTTTGTTTACATGGAGCTATATTTGTCAATATTTACCAAATTAGAAATTAAATAATATATTTTAAAATATTTGTTAATTCATTTTAAAATAACAATAAATTCATTATAGGTTAACATATTTTATGAAAAATAATTATATTTTCCAAAACAAACACGATTAATGGAGTGGCCTTGTTTTTTGCAAATTTCTTTAATATTTGGCTTAATAGAAGACAGCTGGATTCTCATCTGTTTGTGCATTCAATCTGTTGCAGTATATTGTCTTAGTTGACATAGATGAAGAAATTTGGTGTCATAAATTATGTAGTATAGGAGAAATACATTACTAGGCAAATAATAGTTTAATATAATTATGAAAATAGTTATAACTTCACAGACTCCCCAGAAGGGTCTCAAGGACTCCTAGGGATCTGTTGTCCACACTTTGAGTACTACTGTGTTAGAAGACCAAAGTACAGGAGACATGGCTTGGAGATGGCCAGGAAGTGAGATGAGTAGATGGCTTGTCACTGAGATCTATGTGAAATTAGATAGTTTAAATTTATTTAGTTATTAACACAGTCAGCACAAGTTCACAACTTCTCCAGAAGTATTATGTGGCTTGGGAATAGAAGTGGAGATTGTGGATAGTGGGAACGAACCAGAATTTGCCACTGGCAAGACAGGAGAGAGCAAAGTATTCAAAAGTATATGAACAAAATTTGTTTGAACTATCCAAGTCAAAGGTTAAGGCTGAAGAAAGGAAAATAAGTGATTGACTAGGAAAAGATGAAGGAAGAATTAAGAGCCTGGGCAGATAAGATGAGAGCAAAGAGGGAAATACAAGAGGGATAAGACAGTAGGAAAAAGGAAAGGAAAGGAAAGGAGATGGTGGTCAGAAAGGAGAACCCACTGTTGACAAATTTAGAGTTCTTGCAGTAGTATTTTAATTCAAATTCCTCTAATTTAAAAGAACATGTTTGTAGGATACTTTGTATTGATTTAAAATATAAGGGCCATCTGGGTAGGATTGCATTTCCCACAATGCTCAAGGGCTGTGAATGAGCCTGCAGCATGGTAATATTAGCAGCCAATACTTGGATTGATTGCTATGGCTCTCCACAAGGCATGACATTTAAAAAGAGAGGAGCATAGACACAAATAGCAGTCGCTCAGAGAAGAGAAACACAGCTGTGATGAAAGGAAAAAGGAATTCCACTACAACATGATGCCTTCTGATTATTATTATTATCAATAATTCTGATCGACAACAACGATGATGATGATGATGATGATGATGATGAAGGCAGGAAGGTGGCACAATGGATGGAGTGCTCAACCTGGAGTCAGGAAGATTTAAGTTCAGATCTGATCCTTCTTATAGCAGTGTGACCTTGGGTCAGTCACTTAACCTCTTTCTGCCTCTGTTTTATCATCTGTAAAATGAGGATAATGAGATGATATTTGTAAAGTGCTTTGCAGACCTTAAAGTGCTTTGCAGACCTTAAAGTGCCACACAAATGCTAGCTATCAGATGATGATAGGAGACAACTAGGTGGCTCAATGTATAGAGTGCTAGGTCTGGAGTCAGTGAGACTTGAGTTCAAATCTGGTCTCAGGTACTTACTAGCTATATGACCCTGGACAAGTCACTTAACCTCTGTTTGCCTTAATCCACTGGAGAAGGAAATGGCAAACCACTTTTTTTTATTTTAAATTTTTATGGGCCTGGCTGTGTCTCTGGACTGTATGAGTTACATGACACCTTCTGGACCTAGTTCCCATCTTTGTCTCATCTTACTGCCATGGTCCCACTGAGGCTTTAAATTCTGATTTTTTTTTGCAAGTCCTTCTCTTGAAGCATAGCTTTATGATGCCTTTTTCGCTTCACTACTGATTCAACCTTTAAGTACTAGCAAATTCATCTCCCTTCACTTTACATCAATTCAATTCAAGAAATATTTATTCAGTGCCTATTGTGTGCCTAGCATTGTGATGGGTGCTCCAGATATAAAGAAAAAAAAATGTAGCCCCTATCCTCAAGGAGTTCACATTCCATTGTGGGAAAACAACAGGCACAAAGGAAATTGCTTAGGAGAGGGCCTGGGTTTAATGTGAAGGATAGTTTGTTAACAATTGAAATAGGGTGCTCTAGAGGAACAACATGGAAGGGTAGGGAGGCCATAATGGAAGTGTAGGGAGCAGTGGTATAGAGATGTGGGAGAGTTGACATAGGTGGGTATGGGTATCCAAAGATACCCTCCACTTACACATTTCATGATCCTTCTGTGCTTATGGTAGATGGTCTTCATGAATTTCTTTGGTTGTTGGGTCTGCATCTAAAGCCTTTCCATCTGGACAGGATTTTCCAGAACTTGGGCTGGCTTTCCTGGCACAGCCTTTCAGGGTTACACAGACTACAGGATAAAAACAAACATTTCTCATTAGATCTGCATATAAATTTTTGCTTCTTAGCAGTTGCTTTGGAATATAAGATTGTATATGGTATGGACTCCACAATTGGCATAAGCATCCTGAATCCCGATCCTTTCTTTTCATGTCTCATCTTTTTTCCTGGCACTAAAAGCCACTCTAAAACTTAAGATAATTTAATTTTCTTTTTTTCTCACTTCCCATCTTTCTTTTCTCTCCAAGAACTAGTTAATACAGATGATAATCTGTGGGAGGATATTAAAAACAACACTTTTAATAATAGTAGGTAGAACTCGTGATGTTTTTCATATCAGAAGTGTTTTACAAACATTAATTAAGCTTTGCAGCTCCCAGTGGGGGCATAGATATCTATATCACTCATGGAGAGATTTCCTGGTTTCCCTAAAATCAAAGAAAGTCAATGATGAAACCAAATCCAAGGCATCCCAGCATTGAAGCCAGTCTCCTGAGAGAAAAGATGACTTAGCAGGCTTATCGTAACTGATGAAGCAATGATAAAATGAAGTTATGCTCAATCCTTAGAGAATATGAGCTTTCTGTCTAAAAAAGAATATTTTCCATTATTCTCCTTTAAAAGCATATGTATTTTTTACAGTTTATACAATGAGAAAATACAACTGAATATAGAAGCTGATAAGTTCAATACAACATTTCTTCTTCTTCTTCTTCAGTAGCAAGCAATAGGAACCAGAGGATGTGATCAAGAAGAAAACCAGGAAGGCAACAGGAAAAAAGGAAATCCTTGGAATATTAAAAAATTCTTGATTTCTTTTTTTCTGATTATGAATTCAAACTTTATAGGTAACACTTGGAACAAACATTTCTACTTTCAAAACAGCAGAAGTCAGGCTCACAAAAGTTTAATGACTGTGGCCTCATATTCATCTTGTCACCAAGCAAATTTATTAACTCATTCCCTTTTTCCTTCCTTCTTTCCTTCTTTCCTTCCTCCCTTCCTTCTTTTCTTCCTTCCTTTCTCCCTTCCTTCCTCCTTTCCTTTTTGCCTTCCTTCCTCCCTTCCTTCTTTTCTCCCTTCCTTCTTTCCTTTTTGCCTTCCTTCCTCCCTTCCTTCCTTCCTCCTTTCCTTTTTGCCTTCCTTCCTCCTTTCCTTCTTTTCTTCCTTCCTTTTTCCCTTCCTTCTTTCTTCCCTCTCTTCTTCCCTTCCTCCCTAATTCGAAACATCCTCCCTTCCTTCCTTGTTTTCCTCACTTCTTTCCTTCTTTTCTTTCTCTCTTCCTTCCTTTCTCCCTTCCTTCCTTTCTTTTTCCCTTCCTTCCTTTTTCTTTCCTTACTTCTTTCCTCCCTTTCTCCTTCCTTTCTTTCCTCCCTTCCCTTCCACCTGTCCTCTTTTCCTTCCTTCCTTTCCTTGTCCCTCCCTCCCTCCCTTCCTTTCTCTTTCTAACACATATTCATTGAATACCTAGTTATACAAGGCATTGTGTCAGACTTTGTAGGATATACATAGATAAATAAGACACAACTCCTATCCAAAGAAGTTGATAATCTATTAGGTGAAATAAGCAGATATAGAAATAATTAGAATAAAAGGAATGGTGTAAAAGTGCAAAAGGAGGTAAAAAAAATGCTCTAAGAATTAAGAAGAATGAGAGAATATTTGAGCAGGGGCGAAATCAAGGATGTTTCAGGGAGGAGTTGGAAGTGACCCTGAAGTAGGAGAAGTTAGAAAGACAAATCAGGGGAGGGAAATTCTAGGCAGAGGGAACAAATGTGAGCACAGATATGGAAATTAGAAATTGTTGGGCATATTTGAAGTTCATACTGACAAAAGCATAGAGTGCACCTCAATAAAGAGTAATGAGTAATAAAGTACATTTAAGCCACATCATGGAGGGCTTTGGAATTTAGAATTTATCCACTGGGCAATGGAGAGCCACTGCATGGTATACTTTGTGGGGAGGAGATTAAGGGTGGCATAATCAGAGCTGGATTTAAGGAATGTAATCTGGCAACAGAATGCCAAATGCATAGAAGGGGTAGAAGGAAAAACATTGGAGGCAGGAAGACCAGTAAGATGATTAAAATAACATAGTTGGGAGATAATGATGACTTAAATTAGGATAGTAGTAGTAACCAAAAATTAGGGATGAATACGAGTGATATTAGGGCAGCAAAATAACAATCAACAGGACTTACTTGATGTGTGTGTGTGTGTGTGTGTGTGTGGCAAGTTACTCCAAGGATTTTAGCTTAGCTATTGAGGTTGTCAGTGGTGGTACCATTAACAGAAATAGGAAAGTTGAAAGGAGAGGTAGATATAGAGGAGAAGATGATCAGATAAGTTTTGGACATACTAGTTTGAGTGTGGGACATCCTGGTAGAGATGTCCAACAGACAGTTGGAAATGTGAGCTAGAACTTGGAAGAAAGATTAGGTTTAGAGATAGTGGGCTTTTTAGAGTCATGGGCATAGAGGCGATAGGAATGAGTGAAATCAGTGCAAGCAATGGTGTGTAAAGAAAGAGAAAAGAAAATAAGTAGAACATTAAAGAGTAACAAAACTTAGGGGACAGTAAAAGGAAGAAATGTTTGGTCATTGAGGATCCAGAGTAGGGAGTATAGAAAAAGTAGTTAATTCATTTGATCCTCACAACAACTGTCTTGACCCTCTGGTGAATCAGTTGAGCTCTACACTGCTCTCTTCTCTAAAGTCCGTTGCTCCCTTAGTATATCATTGACTATGTCTATTAAGCGTCAGCTTTGGGTCACTCTCACCATCCATTGTCTTCACTCATATATACGTGCTGCTGAATGAAAGTAGAAAAAGTTATAAAACTCTGCTGAGTGAGTCCACCACAAATTTATGTTATGTAGCTTCACTCAACTTCATTTGTCACCCAACTCTCACCTGTGGCTCCAAGAAGCTGTAGTGTACATAGTGGCTACATCCCAGTAAAACTGTCTTGGCAGATGAGTTGGCAGTAACTGGTAGGCCTCAAACCTGTTGGTGAGTTGGGGCATGTCTACCTTAAGAATGTGAAGACTTCCCCTGGCAGAATGGGTGGATGAGAACAATTTGTTCCAATGTCCATGAAAGACGCTGAAGTAGGCACCGTGGAGCACTTAGAACTTAGGCAGACATGTAGAACGCCAAGGTCATTCACTGCATCCTGAGCCACTGCCAGTCAGCTTGACTTTTATCTTGCAACTGGACTTCAGTGACTCTGGAAGAGAGAGTGAGACTGATGACTTTGTACAATTCTGTTTCATTTAAATTCAATTCATGAGCAAGTCAAGACATCACCCCATAATGTCATTGGTCCTCTTTGAAAATGAAGGACAAATAACAACAACAAAAAAGAGAAACACTTCGCACTTTATATAACACTTTCTCTTATAACTTTCTCTTATGCTTATAATACCATATTGAATACTCCAGTTCATGTCTCATCCCCCTACTGAACTGTAAGTTTGCTGAAGGTAATAACCATGTCTTCTTTAAACTCTGCATTTCATAGACACAAAGATGCCAGTTACTGGAATAAGACTTACTATTTGACAGTATTTGGACAGCAATATGGAGGAAATTAGATTTTAATCAAGACATCATACCTTATATCCAGAATAAACTCCAAATGGTTACATGACTTAGATATTAAAAAGTTACAACATATACAAATCAGAAAAATATGAGAAAAATTATCTACCATATCTATGGATAGGAGAAAATTTCATGACCACAGAGGGGCTAAAAATAATCACAGAAGATGAAAGGATATTTTTGATTACATAAAATTTAAAAGTCTTTGCATGCAAAAAATTCAATAAAAGTAAGAATAAAAGGGACACAATTAACTGATTAAAAAATCTTGGCAACAAGTTTTTCTAAGATTCTCATTTCCAAGATATAGAAGAAACTGACTCAGATTTATACTAAGAACAACATTCCATTGGAGAAATTGTCTAAGGATATTTACAGATAATGCTCAAGGGAAGAAACTTAGGTTATCTATAGCCATACGAAAAAAAAAAAATTCTCCAAATCACTACTAATTATGGAAATGCAAATCAAAGCAATTCTGAGATTCTACCTTATACCCATCAGATTGCCAAAGGTGACAGAAAAGAAAAATGATAAATGTTAGAGGAACTATGGGAAAACAGACACAACCAGCACTGATGGTTGACCTGTGAATGCGTATAACTATTCTTTTTTTTTTTGTGAGGCAATCAGGGTTAAGTGACTTGCCCAGGGTTACACAGCTAGTAAGTTTCAAGTGTCTGAGGCCAAATTTGAACTCAGGTCCTTCTTACTCCAAGACCGGAGCTCTATCTACTATGCCACCTAGCTGCCCCCCCCCATAAGTATTCTTGAAAGCAATTTGGAATTATACACAAAAAGTTACTAAACAATGAATGCCCTTTGTGGTTAACAAACACACACAACACACACACACACACACACACACACACACACACACACACACACACACACTGAAGCTAAAGGGATTCCCATCAACTAAGGAATGAATGAATGAGATGTAGTATATTCATATGGTGGAATATTATAGTGCTGTAAAAAATTATGAAATATGTGGTTTCAAATAGGCATGGAAAGACTCATATGAACTGATGTAGAGCGAAGTAAGCAGAATTAGAAGAGCAATTTATACTATAACATCAACATTAAAAAAGGAACAAATTGGAATAATTTTATAAATTGAAGAAGAATGAAATGTGAAGAACCTGGAAAATAATTTAAACAAACATTTATTTAGTACCTACTCTGCATGGTACAATATGCCAATTGTTTTAAGAGTTTGTCTTTTTTGGGTAGGTGAGGAGGGTGAGAGTAGGCAAAGTGAGTAAAGATCTAGGATTTTAGGTGGTGAGCTCCTCTTATGAAAACTCCTTTCAACAAAGCAGATTAACAACTCATCTGTTGTTTACAATCCTTGGGAATTACTCGGACGTACCTGGAGGTTAAGTGACTTACTCATGGTCATATCCAGTATGCATTAAAGGCAGGACTTGAACCCAAGTTTTTCTGATACCAGTGCTGGCCCTCCATCTACTCCACCCTAGAATAGAGGAGACAGTAAGAAGACATCATTTATATGAAGCAGAAGAAAAACTGGAAGCAATGCTGCTTCCTATGTCCTAATTCTGTCTTACAGGCTGCATGGTTTCCTTGCATTCATATAAGCTTGGGGATATTTCAGAGCTCATTTAAAGGAGATCCTTTGAATTTGCTAGTAGTATTTGTACCTGTCGTAGTATATTGGCACTCCCCTACATGAAAGACACTTGCAAGAATATTTGCTACAGCGCATGTACAGAGCTTGGGCCTAAGCTTCAGCCCAAGTATCAATTAGCCATATCTAGTGTTATATACCCCAAGCAGCTTTAAAATCACTGGGCCTCCCCACAGATAAATTCTCTTTAGCAGTATTTATGTGTTAGACATTGAGGAAATGCAAATGATAGAGGAACAAATTGTTCCTTTTGGAATTGTGGCTCTCTCTCTCTCTCTCTCTCTCTCTCTCTCTCTCTCTCTCTCTCTCTCTCTCTCTCTCCCCCTCCCTCTCTCTCTCTCTCCCTCTCTCTCTCTCTCCTCTCCCCCTCCCCCTCCTCTCCTCTCCTTTCCTTTCTCTTCCTCCATCTCTCCCCACTCTCCCTCTTTTCCTCTTCCTCCTTCTCTTTCTCTTCCTCTCTCCTCTTCCATCTCTCTCTCTTTCCCCCTTCTCCCCTCCCCCCTTTTTCCCTCTATTTCCCTCCTTCCTCTTCCCCTCCTCCCTCCCTCTCTCTCCCTCTGTCTCCTCCTCCACCTCTCTCCCTCTCCTCCCCCCACAGACACACACACACATATACACAAACACACACATAGACAGATACACAAAATCGTACTTATCTACAATTTTGGGATAAAAACAGCTAGAAATTGAAGCACAGGAGTCCATTAACTGAAAAGCTCTGCTGCCAGGGCTTTAAAATTTCGTTGCAACTACAGACTATGCATTTGAGCTGTGGAAAAAAAACCTTATCTCTATGAGATCATTTTGGTATGCCGTCATGCGTCCTGAACCATTTTCTTTAGCCTGTATCTGTTAGCCCAGTGGGGGAGGGAATGCAGTGAAACCTCAAAGGTAAGAAAAAACAGGTTTTGCTATTTATGCTTAGAGATTGCCTTCAGGCTTTTTACTGAGGCAGGATGTGTATTCTAATGAATACACAGTCAGAAGAGGCAAAGTAACCATCACTGTTATTGATCTTTATACAGATGCCTTCAGAATATTGTGAACGCAGGGCAATAGGAGAAGAGAAAAGCAAAAGTAATAGTGAGATTAAGACCTTTGATAAAGGGAAGCATACTGGCTCTTGTAGGAAAGATATTTTCCTTTGTATGGAAATTTTGAGGTCTATTTCCTGCAGATGACAGTCACATTCTCAATCCCTTTGCACTCAGGACCTCTTTACACTCTTAAAAATTATTGAGGACCCTGAACAGCTTTTGAAATCTAAAAATATGTATTTTTAATTTGGTATTTTAACCCCAAATATGCCTAATACAATGCTTTGACCAAAGCAGAAGCTTTAAGAAGGCTTGTTGTTGAATTAGTTCCGGGGATTCCTCTCCACTGGAAGCAGAAGCTAGTAGCCCATAGGCCTTTGAGCATGCCTCCTTTCCTTTAAGCAATAAGTATTGTTGGGTTGGAAGTCAGAACATCTGTACCTTGGAGACTGTGTTAGGATCCAGCTTTCTGAAATTTCAAAGGTATATTTAAGAATGAGACTTTTTCTTGGTACTGGTGGTCCAACAACCATGGTGGTACTAGCCCCTCGGGTGCTGGATCAGAGATTATTCAAGGCAGGAGAGATGAATCAGTAACTTCCAGAGGGTGAAGATTGTGAATAAGAGGGAGAGTGAGCATTGAGTATGGCTCTGAATCAGCATGAGTAAATGTTGGTAGTGTGAAGAGCAATGATGCTGGGGATGAATGGGGTATGTCTGGGACAATAGAGCCACAGAATTTTCTGTTCATAGAGCTAGGCTCCAGGTTCACTTAACAATATTAGTTTTAGGGTGGGTGATGTTACACTTGGATTCAAATACATCAATTTTACAGGCATAAGATAAGGGAGGTATCATTAAACAACAGTTCATTTAGAAAAGATCTGGGAGTTCTGGAGAATTTAAAGCTAGGCAGAGGCAAGTAGGTAATAGTGCAATGAATAGAGTGCTGGACCTGAAATCAGGAAGACCTGAGTTCAAATCCAGCTTTAAACACTTACTAGCTGTGTGACCCTGGGAAATTCACCTAGCTTCTCTTTGCCTTAGTTTTTTCAGCCGTCAAGTAGTGATAATAATATTACCTATCTCCCAGGGTTGTGAGGATCAATGAGATAATATCTGTAAAACACTTAGCATAGTGCCTAGCACATAGTTGGTGGTTAATAAATGCTTCTTTCCTTCCTTTAAAGATCACTGTAAGTCAAAATATTCTATGGTAATCAGAAAAAGCTAATGGGATCTTAAACTGCATTAAGAGAGAGATAATGTTCACATCTGAATTCATTTGAGAAAACTGGAGATGTTTAGCCTGAAAAAAGAATTACATGAGTTTGGGTAACTCTTCAAGTATTTAATGTTTTTTTTTTCACATGGAAAAGAAATTGGGTTTGTTCTTGGCCCCAGTTAGCAAAACCCAAAAGCAATAGTTAGAAGTGGAAATGGGGTTTTAAGCTTACTGCAAGGAAGTGATTAGAGCTAAGCAAAAGGATAGAGAGGGAGGGAGGGATTCTCCCTCCCTGAAGCTTGATAACCACTTTGAGATATCATGGAGGGAATTCTCACTTAGGCATGGCTTATTGTAATAATCGATAATTCTCTGGACTTCTCTTTCATGCTGAAGCAACATTCTCACCCTGGAAGAACTCTCTGCCCCTC